AAATCTTAGAGCTCTCCTTTGGACCGCGTCAAAAGGTCTAAGCTGATATACTGGCGCTCCTGCGCAGAGATTAGAGCAGTACTCCATATGGGGGCGAACTTGCAATTTATATAAAAGCAGTCTTTGTCCCGGCATGAAGTACAGCTTCGCTCTGTTTAGCACACCGAGTTTTTTAGATGCCAGTTTGGCCTTGTCGTCTAAGTGACTACGGAACTGGACGTCCCTAGATATATCGACACCAAGGATACCTATACTTTTGGAGATGTTAAGGGTACCGTAGTCTCTTGGAATTTAGGAGCCACAACTTAAACTTCTACGGATCTCGATGTGTGTTTATACATGTGTACTTGTAGTCTTTGTTTGTTTTTTTGTAACAACGCGATTACATTGCATTAGTGTATTATGACTGCCTCGTTGGCCGAGTGGTCGCAAGTGTGACTGCCGGGCAAGGGGTCTCGGGTTCGATTCCCGGGTCGGGTAAAGTACTACTGGGTTTTTAAAATTCTCAGTAGTAGCACGGAGTCTGGAAATGTGCCCGGTATATGGCAATAGGCTACTCCCCCTATTATGTGGGACCCCCTATTACATGGGACTCATGACATAAATAGTGAAAAGTGGGTGTTACATTGTACAATGGCATTAAGTGCCGTAATGTACACCTCTGCCTACCCCTTTGGGGATAAAAGGCGTGAAGTTATGTTATGTTACTACTTGTGTGCGTTCCCTCGTCCCCCGCGCCGAAATTGACAGCCTCTTTTGCATAGATGTCAAGTCCTCTTAACACTCTATGATGAATACATGCCCGCACACGCTTCCTTATCTCTGTGACGGTTACTCTTCAAATGAATGAGCGCCTTATTTCTTCAGCCTCGGAAAAGGAGGATCCTCCGGACAGGCGAGGTAATTGTGTCTGAGGGGCGTTCTGCCCAAGCCCAACGGTTATTCGTTGGGACTTTCTGTCCATGGTTATTCGCAAGTAAACTCACAGGTGCGATGTAGAATTTGTGCTGTCGATTTGCTTACACGCGTCATCTGACTTCTGTCATTTGTCAATGTGTCATGTGTCGCCACAAATGTATGGAGTTTTTAAAAATGAGACGAATTTACTTTGTGATGAATTTACAACAACCTAGTAGATCTTCTTTCTTTTTCCCTTACTCTTTTTTGTCCTTCTTTTTCTTCTCCTTCTAGATGCCGGCAACGCGCTTGTAACTCCTCTGGTTTTGTAGATGTCGCTTGGCATCGGGTGATGCGTCTGCTCGGTTGCCGCCCTGTTCCATAAAAAGAAAAAAAACCCACTGATTTGCGTGTGCAAGCTGCGAGCCGAACGGTGCAAATTGTCACAGTAATACAGTTTTATTACTCAATTCGATTGTATTTCTCTAGGAGCGTTACTATTTTAATGGGAATTTAGATTAGTAAGTACCTGCCTACTCACTACACGTACTAACCTTAGCTCTTTGTTCATTACTATATGTAACACCAAGTCAATGCTATTAACAGCATGTGAATTGCTAGTTAAAATGTTTTGTTGTTTGTCAAGATTAACTTTTCGTCAGAGAGAGGTAAATATCTATAGATAGCTTTTTCATTTCTGATATTAATGAACATCGTGTAGAAACTTAGAAACATAAGTAAGTACCTATATAATTATCGGATTCAAGACAAAACAAAGTTTGTCTATGTAAATAAAAAGCTTTAGTATGGAGCTGATGCCTATATCTAAATCTGGTACTCACGTGGTCTAATGAACATAAAAATCAGTTAGATTATATAGGTATAATTTATTGTTAAGTAGGTACTTAGGTACATAATTACTACGTTGCTCCTTAGCAATTTTTATCACGTTATTGCTGGTTGAGTGTTGTGTCATCCGGGCCAGTAGGACAATACTCTGAATACCCACATGTGGATTTTGGATGAAGCATATCAACTGGTGTCAATAAAGAATCATCTTTCCGCAAAACTTTTGCCAAATTATTTGTTTAACTACTGACGTGGGTGTCTCATAGACAGCGTGTTCACTAATATAAGAATTTTCCGAAAAACCGTTCAAATAAATTGTATTGTAGCTAAGATTGTAACATATATTTTTTATAAGTTATGCGAAATATTTTTATTTTAAGTTTATAGAATTTGAATCAAAATCCGCTGATTTCATTCGAAAATGTTGTTTTTTTGCACTTCCTTAATAAAATTATAATGAACCGACCGATCATACAATACAAGTAAATATTGTGCAAATCAATAAATAAAAGTAATCCATTCTGATTATTTATTAAGGTGTTTGACATACGTCACGTCACCATGTATGGTATGGGTAAACCACGTCAGGACTTGAAGGTTAATGTAATGGCTACCATACGCGCCCGTCGGCACATTCAATTCACCAGTCGAAACATGGCTCTTCCACACTTGAAATTGATAACTCCTGGGAAACCCGGTAGCTCTCTTTCTTTCAAGGGGATAAGTCATTGTATGATTTTCCTCCTTCAAATCTAAAGAGGAACCCGGTGGATGTTGCAGCTCGAGTCGGTAGATTGGGAGAAAACCATTATTTTTTGCAACTTTACCCTGTGTCGGCCCGTTTACTTCTCTTCAGGTCAATCGTCAGCCTAAGCGGATGCCATATTGGGACTGGAAGACATACATACCAACATATTGATACATTCTAGGGAATACATAATTATAGTTTGTCAATTTAAGAATGACGACGTATGTTTGAGGAACTTGACTTTTTGTTTGTTATTATGATGTTAACAACATCATAATAACAAACTAAAAAACAAAAAATAACCATTATTAGCACTGATAGGTTACCCACCCACTGATAGGTAAGAAGTCGGTGCCAGTTGCAGACTCTATAACTGGGCTGGCTTAGTTATCTATACTAATATTATAAAGAGGAAAGATTTGTATTTTTGTATTTTTGTATGTTTGTAATGAATAAACTCAAAAACTACTGAACCGATTGCAATAATTTTTTCACCATTCGAAAGCTGCATTATTCAGAAGTAACATAGGCTATATAATATCACGCTAGGTCCTATAGTTGTGGAGCAGTAACCAAAAATGTTTTAAAAACGGGGGAAAAGTATCGTTTCTGAGGCCTTCCGTGGCGTGCGCTGAGCATATAGTTAAAGTTATACAAAAATGTTCTATAGATGAATTGTTTATCTTAACATTATTTTTAAAAAAGTCCGCGAGAGCATATGTCTACCTTTTATAGTTTACCCATAACAATCGTTTTAATGAATGGTTCAATCCTTATAAAAGTTTGCTCTAGATAACTTTTGAATTGTTCAATCGGTTACCTTAAGACGCGACATCGACAACGGAGGGCAGGTCGCTAAAAAAAAACTGAGAATAAATATAAATAAAACGTAAAACTATGTAAAAAATCTTAAGTCCCCCCGTGCGAAGCCGGGACGGGCCGCTAGTACAATATAAAAGCAAACCCAACAATTACAAAAAGCCAGTTCACTAAAACTAAGTTAAATGTTGAATCACAGACAGGAACAATCCCATGAATTGATGGCCCCATGGCCCCATGGATCCCATTATGGCCAAAGCGACTTTTTTGCGGTACAATCGCGGCTAGCGAACCAAACCCAACCGGGTACGTAGACTCATTGCGCTCTACTGCAGTCCTGTACTACCTACTACTTACTACAATGGTCTTTCACTATTAGTCATAGGGAAAGTGTCCGTACACACACTTGGCGCTTAGGGTATTTTGGCGCTTAAGATTGGCCTGGCAACTTACGAATAGCACCCCCAAAATATGTATTACAAATAAAATCAAGCATCAGACTGTAAGTTGTGTGTATTGATGTCGATACTTAGTCAGGCAAAAAATCTGCCTACAGAATGTTTCTGACAGTAGATATTTATTTCCAATTGTTTACAATATTGCCTACAATGTACCTAAAACAGACCGCAGACTATAACTAAAGTTCATACGATTTTTATAAACCTCTGCAGAGTGCAGCAGCACCTGATCCTCTTTTTTTTTTAAGTGGGGAATATCATCGAATGACTTCTCCCGCCTGGGTGAGGCGGGGGGAGTGTCAGACTCTTACTGACTAAAACCTACCCGTCGTAGAATTTTTTTTACTTTTATTTGTTTTTTCTTTTTAAAAAACATTGCCCCACACTAGGATTTTCCTCTATGTCGTGGGTGCGTTTACATACATGAACTTGTTCACATACACAATGACACCCAAACCCGAAACAACAATTTGTGGATCACACAAAGTGTTGTCCCGTGCGGGAATCGAACCCGCGACACGTTGCACGACAGCCGGTTGCCCAGCCACCGCACCAACCGTGCAGTCAATTGTCGGTGCTTCGGGCCCCCCTGAGGATGGGGGCCCTCAGGCCCTGGGTACGGGTCCCGAGTGCCCTTATGGTAAAGACGGTACTGCTTGGTTGCCCAACTTACTCCTATTGTATTTATTTATTCGAGTAGCTGCATGTAGTGTGTAGCTGTAGGGTCAATTACTAGACTATTATGTGAATTCTAGTCCAGGAAAAAACAAAGGAATGAAACCAAATACGTAGCAATGCAAGCGAGGTTCCATGCGATGCATATGAGCAGGCGCGTCACGCTGGCCGCTCCTCGCGTTTATATAAGCGCGGCCGACACTGCGCCGCCGCTCATACTGAATGTGCTGTTTCATGGGTACTCATACACGGTGACTACTCGATATGCCTCACATGGTGACCCGCGAGAAGAGTGACTACGGCAGGAAAGTGCAGGAAAAAGCGGTCATTGAAAAGGTCATACATCACGCTGATTTTATTAATGTAATTATTACGAAGAGATGAGCGACACCGCGACGTTCTTCGAATTACTTGTGGCAAAAATCATCGAATACATTTACTTAAATGCGGTACAAAGATATATTATGTCTAAAGTTTAGGCTAAAGTATAACAGTAGCCAACGACGCTAATTAACGACTCGACTAAACACATATCGCTCGTGGCGCAGAGACAGATGGCGATAGAGCGCTGCGCAGCCGCGGCGGCGGCGGCTAGCGAGCGGCCCGCCAGCCCAGTGGGTGGCGCAGGCCCTGCGGGGACCGCCGCACCGGGGCCCGCCGCGCCCCAGACGCGGCTGCTCACCCTGGAGCACGGCGAGCACAATGACTCAACACTGTACCGGTAACACTGTCTGCTTAACTGGGCCTAGTGGCACACAATAGAACGTACAACGTAAGGCGTTGGTCGCACTATGATTAAACCGGGTTTTATTAAATAAAATTAAAACATACGAGCCGGTTGCATTTGCGGATTTTCGCAAGACTGATTTTAAAAATCGCCGCATAATTTTTAATGCACAGAGAACTTAATAGTTGAATATAGTGGGCCCGGAAAAACCCGTAGCGCGGCCTTAGCCTAATAAGTATGGGAAGGACGGATATAACGGGGTCACGAGTGACGAGGCACAACGGGGCGTTAACAAATACGGATACGGGTAACTATGCACACTATAGTTGGACCATTACAAACGTGCGAAATGTCACGTCAAAAGAATGTGACAATGCCGCACAACTCGTATAGGTTTTTTTTTTTTAATATTTGATGTGGCGACGTTTGACCACTACCTCGTCTGGTGGTAAGCGATGATGCGGTCTACGATGGAGCACGTCGTCCCATAAGTAACCTATTCACTCGGGCCTTGAAGACTCCCAGGTTATATACCCTTCAGGAAATCAGTACGCACAAGGAAGCTTGAAGCGAAGCGCTTCGTGCGTATGGGCGGAACATCTACCATGAATCGGTGACGCTTCGCCGATTGTTTTGTGGTACGATGATGGAAGGTACGAGCTAGAGATCTGGGGGCTTACTCTTGAATCCAATTCTGATCGATCAACATTGATATTGTAAAATTTCGTAGTCTTAAGTAGCAACACTAGCGCCCATTGCATCCGTATTGCGTGGATATTGAATGAACTAATGGTACATATTGAGTTCGGCTTTATATTCCGTGCTCTGAATGCTATTTCAATAGCTACGATAGGGGTTGTATAGTTTTGACATTGAATAATTATTGAGACTTTATTGGATTTGCATTTGCAATTGCATTGATATTGAGATTGATTTCAAGAGTAAGCACCCAGATATGAATCACTTCTGACAGTTAACGTTGAGTACCCCGTACTGCCCTTACCTCGGGACACGATGGACTTTTCATAGAGGTTTCGGAAAATTAAATAAAATATATTATTTGATTGGTTACTTCACCAAAATCGATGCTAAGTGATAATTTAATTTATACCCAAGTGTTGCGATTAGTTTTGATTGATAAATGTCAATAAAATGATAAAAATGAGATCATTATTATCATTTTATTGACAATTTCCCTTAACGTCTCCGTTATGTCCCCCCTACCAAGTACCAACTATATACCTACTAGTAATGTTATAACTTAAATATGTCTTATTTAATAAGGAATAGGTACACTTGTTCGACAATCGCACCTATTCAACAATTAACGTTATTTTCTTTTAGGTTTGAAAAAGGCTGCTATTTACAATTTTGTCCTGGGCCATCTTTACTTGGGCGAAAAGTTTTTCTCTATACCAATTATGTGATGTCTGATAATCGTAAGTGAATACATAATTATTTTTGTTTTCTTAGTTAGTTACCTACTCATAAATTCAGCACTCTGAATAGATATATAAAGGTAAATATGACTCTTCTTTACCTTTCGTGCCAGTCTATAACGGGACTTCGGGAATGTGAAAAATTAACAAGCAAATGATAAAAACTAAAAAGCAAAAAATAACTATTATTAGTCATACGTCCTTACCTATAGGTCACCCACCCACTGATAGGTAAGAAGACGTATGACTATGTATTTTAGTTTTTACCTTTTGCTTGTTTTTTACAGACTTCAAAAAAAGGAGGAGGTACTATGTTCAGCTGTTTGTTTTTTTAGCCGATTACTGCGCCGTTTATATTAACTACCTTGTATTTGGGCTTGATTAATTTGTATTTATGAGGACTATACCTTAGATAGAGTGGGACTGTCATTAAGGATCTGATGATGAAGAAGTGTAATTGTAAAGGGAACTTCTCACCGGTATACAGTAACTACCTTATGTTTTGGCTTAATTAATTTGTATTGATGAGAACTTTACACCTAAATCGAGTGGGACTGTCATTAAGGGCCTGATGTTAAAGAAGTGTACCTAATTGTTAAGGGAACTCTTTAACTGTTTATAGTAATTACCTTGTGTTTGGGCTTGTATAATTTGTATTGGTTAGAACAGTAACTTTACACTTATGTAGATTATAAGTGACAAAACGGATCTATGTAGCTTTACACCGAAAATGTAAAATAAAAACTTAACAAAAACTTAAAAAATTGTGTTCTATCATTAAATTTAAAAATCACAGATTATATTATATGTATAAAGAAACTACTAAAAATAATTATGTTATTATATGAACGTGCTATAAATTAGGTGTGCGTGTGCTGTGGGTTATTTGTAAAATATAATAAAATACCATAAAGTCGCAAAGTCCATCTCGAAAGTCGCGGGTGATCAGGGCGCCTGATTTGAATTCGCTAAGTCATGATAAGTAATATTGGTTTATAAAAATAAGATGTCCTAAATTAGCATACAATGTTAAAGCTACTTTCGCCGGTGATACAGGGCTTCCCTAGTACCTACAGGCATCTAACTGTATAAGGTCTACATCGCTTATTTAGATAATATTTTGTATTGTGCTCATTTTATCTTTGTAGATTAACCAGGAGTGTGGGATGGAATCATAGGCTTTTTTATAGTCTTCGAACATGGTGTGTATGTCACGTTTATGTTTAAGTGCTTGTTTGGATGCCACGGCGTCAATGGTTAGTAGTTCCTTGCAACCTTTACTATTTTTCCACACAACACAATATCCTAGTATGTACATAGTATCGCTGAGGCAAGATGTGATTACTTTTTTATATGTTCTGTATGTAAGCAAGTGATGGGTCGGTATTTTGCAGGATTAACTGTGTCTGATGGGTCTTTTGGCAGCATGTATGTGGTGCCTTGTGTGATGTATGGTGGCATTGTGTCAGGAGATTGGATGAATGAGTTAATGTGTGTAAGTAGTAATGTAGGAGAGCATGGTAACTTCTTATACCAGAAGTTGTGAATATGTGACTGTTTGTAATAATTGTAAACTAATTTGGTCAAATTCCATTTCCGGTGTATCTATCCATCTTTCTTTGTCTTCCTCAATCCACGTGTTTTCTTTGTGTGACAGGGTTTGACCAAATTTTTGACCAGAATGCGTGTAGTGATTCAGGCGTCGGTAGTGGTGTGTTATTTTCTTGTGACCGATTGTATATAGTTTTTCATTATTGTTGAACTGTGTATTTTGTGATTTTCTCGCTGTCGTTTCTTTATACCTGCTTGCTTAGTGTGTTAGGTTTTTGTTTTAACGTGTCTAAAAATGTGTAATATCGGTATTTTCTGTTTCGTGTTGTGTGTGTATTTTGTATGTCTTTTTTATATTACTAGTTTGTTCTTCTAGGGCTGGCGCCCGGGCCCCGTTTGCATACTCAGTAAGCCTTCCTATGTTGGCTCTGAGCTCACTAATCCGACATTCCAATCGTTTTTGCCACCAAGGTACTTTTCTTACTGATTACATTGGTTTCTTTGATCCTGGCCCCATTATAATATGGCTATTGTGTATGCTGCGCAATAAATAGATGTCTGAAGAGTGTGAAAGTCAGTATCAGAAGTCAGTATCTTTGGGAGTATGTGAGTGTTGAGATGAGTTGTAATAGCTGCTAGTTTCCTGGAGGATTTTAATTTAGGGATATATGGCCTCGTTGTGGGGTCAAAGTCTTTGAATTTGTTATAGTGATTTTTATAAATTTGCTCTAATTGTTCAAGGATCTCAGTGGGCACATTAAAAGTGTTTTGCTCTATTGGCTGTGTGTTTTGCTCGTTGGTTATTGTTGATATTGTTGGTTCAGTGTGACTAGCATTAGTATTTATTGGTGTTAGTTGTGTTTGTGTTGCCTGTACTGTCAGTTGTGGTATTGTTAATTCATTGTTTCGCTATATTTACAGAAGCTAATTCACTCCTAACTTATTCTCTTATCTGATTAACTCGTCGAGTACCGGTTTTATAGACACAATTAAAGAACAATAGGTCGCGGTCACCGGTGACCGCTTGGTGTTTGACAGATTAAGTCGGTCAATGGGTAACAATTGATTATTGACAATAGATCTGCGTTGGTCTGATATTAGAGATATATTCCTTCTTTATGCGGATAGGTGTGCAATTGAGGGGCATTTTGAGATTATATCTTGGTGGTTAGGCACTGACAAGAGTAGATATCATGGCAAAAGAAGTGAAAAGTATAAAAGTTGAGGTAGATAAAGTAGGAGTGAGAGGAGAGGAACATTGGGAAGAAAATACTTTTAGTCTGTGACTGGGTCAAATGTACCGATGATTAGGACCGTTAGTTGGAAGGGTGTCGCCGAAGTGTGTGTATCTCCTGTAAAGGGTGGGTCAAGTTCTTAATGACCTAATTTTAGTTAATGCCTTCCGCAAGCCCTCCCACCACGTCAAGGTGTTGGTTGGGGGTTATTTATTATATTATTATTATATATATCAGATCCTGACCTGGTGGAAATGGGACCACCCCGAGAGTATGACTTTTCCAACAAAAAAATAATCATCAATATCCGTCCACAAACGCTCGAGTAATCGGGTAATACACACAAAAAAACATACAGCCGAATTGATAACCTCCTCCTTTTTGTGAAGTCTGTTAAAATTTAATCTTACCTTGTATTGTAAGTACATAATATGTGTAGATATTATACACATGCACATATTATAAATAGGTAGTAATTGAATATATAATAGAATATATTATAAATAGGTAGTAATTGGATAGACTGACTTGATGTTTAATCTTTATATTTTATTGTCATACCTATTCATTCAGATAGAATAGATCTTCTGCTTACATTATAATAGGTCCTTACCAAAGAAATTGCCGTTTTGTATGATTTTTTTTTATTTTATTTGTATTGATCGAAGTAATAACTTTGCGATCAATGTATCTTTGCCAATGCTGTGGCAGTATATTGATGCCCTTCTTAAAGAAATCCGCTGGACCGGAGGCAACAAATTTTTCAAAGGTACTTTGTGCTGCCTCTCGGGTATTGAATTTTGTCCCGCCAAGAAGTTAACCAAATTCTGGAAAAGGTAGTAGTCTGTAGGCGCAAGGTCTAGTGAGTAGGGCGGATGGCGGAGAGCTTCCAACCAAGTTCTCGCAACTTGGAGACCGTCGGTCGTTTGCTGTGCAATATGAGGTCGCGAGTCGTCGTGCAAGAGCAGCGGAGACGAGCGATTAACCAATACTGGTTAGTGGTTGGAAATGTGCCAGCTTCTCCATCATTGAGTTCAGTTCATTACAGTACACATCTGCAGCAATGCTCACCTTATTTTGGTAAGAAGCTGTGATGAATCACACCGGCTCAAGACCGCCAAATAGTGACCATCACTTTTATATGGGTAAGTTTTCGTTTAGGGCATCGTTTAGGTGCTGAACCAGGATCCAACCAACTTTATGAGCGCTTGCGTTTATCAAACAGAATCCTTTTTTGGTCGCAGGGAACAATGCGGTTCAAAATTCCTGCATTTGTGTACTTCGCGCTGGCGATCATTCAATTTGTGGGGCACTCATTTGTCAAGCTTTTTTACCTTGCCAATTTGACGCAAATGGTTGTTTGGAGCAATATTGTTTTGACACTAATATCGAAATCTGCTGCTAGCTTCGACATTCGCCTTTAATTCGTCATTGTCGACCAAAGTCATCAGACGACCGCGAAGTTCTTTTTTCAGGTCGAAATTTCCAGAACGGAAGCGAGCAAACCAATAACAGATGGTCCGTTGGTTGATGTTAGCTCTGTAGGTACACGTCGTCGATGTTGCATGCCGCTTGTTCCGCATTGCTGTCTCGACGGTACCCATAATCTAATTACTCGAATTTTTAACGTATCCATCATGACGGATAATATTAAAATGCGATGAAAATGTAACACTAATCTACTAATGGTACCTTGAGGCGAGGTGACGGGCATTAGCGATCCCGCGGGCTACCATCATCCCGAGTGCTCCAGGGAGAGGTCACCGTTCCTTCTTCTCCGGCTTGCCTTAATTGGCTGGCTGGAGTGAATGATGACAAGGAACAGGTCTCCCACCTCTGGCTTGCCTTCATTGGCCGGTTAGAGTGGAGTCGCGAGAGCAGTGATCCTGCTCGGAGGGTAAGAAACTATTCGTAAGTCGCGAGTGGGCCAGGGATGCAGGAGGCTTCGGCTGGAGCAGATGATCTGAGTAGAAAGCGGTGGTAGTTTCTTAACCCTTCAGCCACTCACATTCTCGTTGCCCCTCTGTTGCTATATCTAGCAACCATTCCTGGGGCCCGGTCGGTGAGTTGGCGAGTCTCCGCCTGCCATTTTTACGTGTAAAAATTACATTGTTTCGGCAGGTGCCATAGTCATCCATAGTTCCTAATTTACCAGTCCACAGCAACCCATCCATAGCCCTACCTTTTTTTTTTCATTATCCACAATAGTCCTACACTAACCGGGGACTGTCCTTGGGTGCATTTCCATAGTGCATTCAGGGATAGTCGCCGGTTTGTGTGTCCATTACATTTATATTAAAGTTGTCTAAAGGGCCTCTGCGTAGTTGGCTTCGGCTCCTCGTACGCCTCCCAAATGACCGGGACCCTGTGGTCCCGTGAATGGTAATGACATACATAATAATAAGCAGTGACTACTTTTAGAAAATAAATCTTTGATTTTAAAATAAAATTAATTTAAAATTGGAATTGTTAGGCAAACAAACAACACAATTACTTTGATTTGCCATGGCCAGTACTGCAGAACGGCAATTTCATAAGTAACGACCTAATATTATTGCCTACATGACGACATTTGTGTAATCATTGTATAGGTCATGTATAGTTCTAAATTTAGTCATGCATACCAGCAGAAGACGATAAGAGCAATGAGCAAGCGGAGTTCATCCGCAATCAGTACCATGGACTGGAGTGGTATCGCGAGGCCGAGGACGAGGCCGAGGCCGCGCCGCTCGGCACCGGCCTACTGCTCACCGACACCGACTTCTACTGCCAGCTGCGGCTCGCGCGTGCCGGCTCCTTCCACTACTACTTCGTCTACGACAACGCGTGAGTGTCGTCCCGCCGCGCCGTCTACTACAGTCTACTACTCGCTCGCATGCTCACCGCGGTCTCTTGCAGGGAGTCGTCGGTGGGCCCGCAAGGCTCGGGCTGGTTCCATGTGGCGCCGACACTGCGCGTGGGTCCCGGCGGCCGCGACGAGATCCCGTTGGACGGCATTATGTGTCATACAGTACTGGCCAAGTGTCTGGGGCCGCTGCCGCGCTGGGAGGCCGCGCTGCGCGTGTCACGCGAGGCCGGCTACAACATGCTTCACTTCACGCCCGTGCAGGAGCTGGGCGCGTCCCGCTCCAGCTACAGTATCGCCAACCAGCTGCGCCTCAACCCGCAGTTCGGCGCCGACGCGGGCCGCGAGCCCACTTTCGCCGACGTCGAGAATATCGTCTCGAAGATGCGCACCGAGTGGAAGGTGAGCGTCAACCCGGCAATCTCACATTCCACTCTGCGAGCGGTGAGTGACGATTGACGAGCGACGCGTGCGCAGATGCTGTCCATCTGCGACATAGTGCTGAACCACACGGCCAACGAGACGCCGTGGCTGAGCGAGCACCCCGAGGCCACGTACAACTGCTCGAACTGCCCGCACCTGCGGCCGGCCGCGCTGCTGGACGCGCTACTGGCGCGGCTCACGGCGGACGTGGCGCGCGGCGACCTCGAGGCGCGCGGCGTGGGCCGGACTGTGACGTCACACGAACACTTGGAGGCGCTGCGCGTGTTACTGCAGACGCAAGTGTTGCCGGAGGCGCGCCTGCACGAGATGTACATGTGTAACGCGACCGACCTCGTGCAGGAGTTCTACTTCATGGCGCGCAACAAGTGAGTCGCACCCGCACTCGTGACAGATATTAATTATATGATTTTATTTCTAAAAAAAACATGGGTGCTTTACACACGAATTAACCGATTATAATAATATACGGTGGGTGGTCATACCCACCAAGTGAGGGTGTAAATAAAAAACTTTATAAATGTCAGAGGAAAGTATCGAATGCACGCATAGTTCTTTATTCCCGAACGTCGGTTGCAGAGTGCCGGCCCCGGCAGCAGTGGGCGCGGGCGCCGGCCTGGGCTCCAGCTCTGAAGGCGCGGGACCTGGCGCGGGCGCTGGTGAGGGCCCTGGCGCAGGCCCCGGCGCGGGCCCCGGCGAGCTGCGCCTGCAGCCGGACCCTCAGTACCGGCGCCTGCGCGCGACGGTGGACATGGACTGCGCGCTACAGCTCTACAACGTATACAGGCGAGCACGACTACCGCGGAACAAATTCTGGTAACGCCGTATAATTACTTGCTAATGTATTATTATTGATATCAGAGCGGAATGTTACGACGAAGAATCGCGGCTCAAAAAATGTTGTGAAGAATTCAAGCGCAAATTGGAGCAGCTGAACGAGGCCGCGGCGGACACTCTGCGGGAGCACCTGCGCGCCGCCGTCGACAACGTCATCGCGGGCATCAGGTACTGACCTTACTGCGGCTCACTCTTTCACGCTCGACGTAGGTACCTACATCGTTTACTAAAATAAAAGGCTACTTGGACGATGCTTCTGTAATGAAATTAAAATTTTTTCATCTTGAATTTCCTCCATTTTTTAAAAACCGTGTTAGTGCGTTATTTTCATTGAATAGAAAAAAAATAGGGGAAGTTTGATGTAGGCGTGGCACGCGTGTCATAAGCGCTTACTCGTATCTTACCTTCGCTTCAGATGTTTATAAGTAGACGTACCTATTCTGTCAATGGGTCACACGTCCCGAAATAATATTGTTTTCCGTAAATAGGCCGTTCCTACAAAAATAGAAGTAATACCTGCAATCGATATTAAAAATAGTGGTGTCTCATACCATCGGTAAGTACTATTTTATTTATTTTCCTATAAAATCTTAATAATTTAAATTGACATGTAATCTTATAAAATATAATTTGACTTGATTGTTATAAAGTTAAAGATCATTGATTGCATTCTAGAATTAGATACTTCTCAATTAGTGATGTGCCAGTAGATACAGATTTTATATGTAGGTAGATGTATATCGATATCGATTTTAATATGATTTCGTAACATGCATGAAATTTATAAGAGGTTTAATACATTGCATAACAATTAAAATAGATTGCATAATGCATATGCATATACTTTAACACAATACTTTTAGAATTGTTAGTGCAAGGACCGTGCAAGACTTTGCCTCGCCATTTCTTTTCTAATTAGCCATATTCTGATAGTTTGAGTATTTGTGCGACCCACCCAAATGTTCTTTAGGTTGGTATTGTTCGTCGGATCAGTCAGCTTCACCTGTTAATTGAGCTGAATGTAAAACGACACATGCGTACTGCCTTCAGAACGGGTCAGCCAAACTGTTGTGGTTCTTTCCTCAAAAGGCCACTACAGAAAGAACTTGCACGGTTCTCACACATAATGTTTTATACATACTTGTCTGGACTTTAAAAGAGATGGACCTCTGAGTTTGTTTCGGCATTTATTCTCAGAGTAGTCAGTTAGGAAATGTCCGCAAGTGCTGCCTTGTAGCCTATTTGCAGAAGCAGAATTTTGAACTTGTTTCTCAAAAGCAACAGTGCACAGTAGACTTTTAATTAGCACAATATTTATTTACAGATTTCCTAGAGACGGTAGCATTAAAACAAAATTGATAGATGCAACGGGTAGAATTAATCGGATACCATCCATAATTATCTAGAAAATATGCTCGCAACACTTTAGAAGACTATTTTTTAATATCAAATAAAGGATATTTATATTAAGCACGTTAATGTTGTTCTGAACTCTTAAAAAGTTTTATTTTATTATCTAGAGGTCGAGTATTTGTCGATATCGATAATGTAATTAAACATATAATATGCTGAACTTGGTCGAATAGTAAAATTTATTGACTTATGACGCGTTTATCTGTAACGAAATAAAATGTATACTAGTTGCTAACTCTAAGAACACTGTCACTTATGGCCGGGTACCAGAATTTACTTGTCAACTAAATCTACTTTGACGTAAAAGATTGTACCTGTACCGTCTTATACATAGGTATATACTTTGCACTGATACCAAATAAATCCTGCATAATAGGGTACATTTGCCTAATTTTTCATTTTAATGTCCGTCTAGTAGATGATTTTAAAACACGAGATACGTATTTTTTGTTTTCTAACAGAAACGAATACTTTCGACAATCCATTGATTTGAAATGTCGCGTGACGTCACTTCTATGTAAATTTTATTCGTAGGTTTCGTTTTATAAGTAGATTCGTTTTAACTATATAAGTATTATTTTATTATACGACAAATTAAAAAATACGTGTCTAATATTTTTTCATTAGATAACTGACGGAGTAATTAGATATTAAATTTTCATACCCCGTCATCATCCCTATTGGTTTAAGGTTTATTTCGGGATGTAAGATATGCGACTTAAACTGGTTTTGACTAAAATTGGACTAGTAGTGGGGCTATACTTACTATCGGTCTGTGAAAGCCCGACCGACAATCTGACGAGACTTTTCGTTCCAGATACTATCGATTACAATCCGACGGACCGAAGATCGAAGAGGTCAGCGCCAAACATCCGCTGGTACCCAGGTGAGAACGTGCGACCGCAGACTGGGCTCGGCTCGGAGCGTGGACAGTGACGGCCATGTGACGTGGGTCCGCAGGTACTTCACGTGGGCCTGCAGCGTGGAGACCAGCTCGTTGGCCGAGCTGGAGGCCGCGCTGTACTCGGACGCCGGCCGCCTGTGCATGGCGCACAACGGGTGGGTCATGGACGCCGACCCGCTGCAGGACTTCGCGGCGCGCGCCGCCGCCGCGCGCGTCTACCTGCGCCGCGAGCTCATCGCCTGGGGCGACTCCGTCAAGCTGCGCTACGGGGACAAGCCCGAGGACAGCCCCTTCCTGTGGGCGCACATGCGCGAGTACGTCGAGCTCACGGCCGAGGTGTTCGACGGCCTGCGCCTCGACAACTGCCACTCTACGCCACTACACGTGCGTATGCTGGGCCCGGGCCCCGCCCGTCCGGCTGGCCGCGCCCGTCCGGCTGGCCCCGCCCGTCCGGCCGGGCCCCGCGTTGACAGTGCGCTGTGTTCAGGTGGCGGAGTACATGCTGGACTGCGCGCGCAACGTGAAGCCGGACCTGTACGTGGTGGCGGAGCTGTTCACCAACTCCGACCACGTCGACAACATCTTCGTCAACCGACTGGGCATCACTTCGCTCATCCGTGGTACGATACACTAACAAGTACATTCACAAAACTGAGACATGAAAATACTTTATTTTTTATTTCATAGTAATATGTATTATATTTATAATATAAACTAGCCGTTGCCCGCGACTTCGTCGGCGTAGAATAATGACTAATGGAAGTTTAGGGAACAGAGTGTAAAGTTCCCTAAGTTCGGAAAAGGAGGATCCTCCGTCCAGGCGAGGTGATCGTGCCTGGCGGGCTTTCTGCCCAACAGTTGTTCGTTGGGATTTTCTATCCGTGTTAAATCGAATGTAAACTTCGCTTCTTCTTCGATGTAGGATTATATGACGTCATCCGTTGGCATGTACCATGTGTCCCAAGACCGGAGGTCGATCCTGTAACGGCTGTCGATGCTTTTTTTTTTTAAGGGGGGAAAATCATCGAATGACTGCTCCCGCCTGGGTGAGGCGGAAGGGAGTGTCAGACTCTTACTGACTAAAAACCACCCCGTTCCTTCTCCTGCAAGTCGAGCCGGAGCCCCGGTTACCCGTTAGGTTCTCCGCGACTCCTAATCGGCAACAGCATTTGTGTGCATTTTCCGCGTAGGTATTGGTCTCTTACTTGTAGTAAAGTTAAAGAGTGGGGGACAAACGGCGACGCGTGTTCTAATACAAATCAGGAACTATTTCCTTTCTAGCCTTCTTTATATGTTCTGTGGATATAACGACAATTTTGACATTTATAAAAGGAATATATAATACGACATCAAAAGCAAACACCTCGGTACAGTAGTAGAGCTAATGCGCATGTCGGTGCAGAGGCGCTGAGTGCCTGGGACGCGCACGAGCAGGGCCGGCTCCTGCACCGCTTCGGAGCGCGGCCCGTGGGCGCCTTCCTGCGGGGCCCCCGCCGCGCCGCCGCGCCCCGCGTGGCCCACGCCATGCTGCTGGACCAGACGCACGACAACCCGTCCCCGCTGCACAAGCGCACCGTGTTCGACGTCCTGCCCACCGCCGCGCTCGTGGCGGCCGCGGCCTGCGCCGGCGGGTCCACGCGCGGCCTGGACGAGCTCGTGCCGCACGCCGTGCACGTGGTGGACGAGGAGCGCCTGTACGCCGACTGGGGCGAGCCCGAGCCCGAGCGCCCGCGCGTCGGGCCCGACACCGGCCTCACGGCGGCGCGCCGCGCGCTCAACGAGCTGCACGTGTGGCTGGCGCGCGCCGGCTACTGCGAGGTGTTCGTGGACCAGATGGACGCCGACGTGGTGGCCGTGACGCGCCACGACCCCGTGTCGCGGCGCTCCGTGGTGCTGGTGGCCTTCACGTGCTTCGCGCCGCCGGCCGGCCCGCGCGCGCCGCGCCCGCTGCGCTTCGAGGGCGACCTGGAGGAGATCGTGCTCGAGGCCTGTCTGCGCCACGTCGACCACAAGTACTACTTTTCTATTTCTATATGCGACTAAAACTAAACTTAATCATTTGACTTTTTCAGTTGTTTAATCCCTCGGTTGACTCTTCCGACACCCGTGGAAATTTTTAGTCACGTGATTTTAGAATAGATTGCGACTGCGCACAGGTCGGAGGGCGACCCGCTGCGGCTGCCGGGCGCCTTCAGCCCGCACCCGCGCGTCATCTCCGGCCTGGCGGCGGACTACGAGTGCAGCGTGCGCCGCGCCGTGCCGCTGGCGCAGTCGCACGTGTTCCACGCCGCGCGGCCCGACGGCGCGCACACCGAGCTCGCCTTCCGCGCCATCCTGCCCGGCACCGTCGTCGCCGTCCGCGTGGCGCCGCGCGCGCCGCAGCGCGCCGCCCTCGCCGCGCTGCAGCGCTCGCTGGCCTCGCCCGCCGCGCTGGGCCTGGCGCCGGCGCTGGCCGAGCTCGAGCTGGTGGACTTCAACGCGCTGCTGTACCGCTGCGACGCCGAGGAGCGCGAGGCGGGCGGCGGCGGCGTGTACGACGTGCCGGGCCACGGGCCGCTGGTGTACGCGGGGCTGCAGGGCGTGGCGGCGCTGCTGGCGGCCGTGGCGCCGGCCGACGACCTGGGCCACCCGCTGTGCGACAACCTGCGCGCCGGCGACTGGCTGGCCGAGTACACGTGGCGCCGCCTGGACGCCGCGCCGCGCCTGCAGGCCGTGGCGGCCCGCTACCGCGCGCTGCTGCAGCCGCTGGCGGCGCTGCCGCGCTTCCTGCAGCCGGCCTACTTCGAGGCGCTGGTGTCGGCGCTGTACCGCGAGGTGACGCGCGCGGCGCTGGCGCGACTGAGCCCGCCGCGCGGCGCCTTCAGCCGGGCGCTGGCGCTGACGAGCGTGCAGCTGGTGGGCGCGGTGCCGTCGGCGCCGCTGCCGCCGTGCTCGCCGGCGCTGGCGCCGCCGCGCGGGGCGCTGGCGTCGCTGTCGGCGGGGCTGCCCCACTTCGCGGTGGGCTACATGCGCTGCTGGGGCCGCGACACCTTCGTGGCGCTGCGCGGCCTACTGCTACTGACGGGCCGCTACCAGGCGAGTCTCCACATTCTTGTAAATGGCATCACAGGCAAAATTTCAATGATAACCTTATCTACTATCCTCTTAATTAGAGGCCCCCAGCCTCCTTACAGACATTTGTCAATTCAATGTTCATTTAGACAGCACCATCAGTTTTACCATCCTCGAAAACCATGAAAAGGATACTCATGTTGATAACTTTCTATAGTCGTCAACTTGGAATATTGTTTCATTTTAATATTACAAAATATGATAATGATCACCCAGACCATTCAATGTAAAATTATTACAATGAGGTTAACGTGTGCCGTCATATTGTAGAACGTTTCACATTGACAATACGGCTAATCGTGTAGTCGCTGTATCCCAAAACGCCTCTGTTTTTCTAAATGACTAGCTGTAATGTAATATGGCGGATTATATAATTTGCCTACAACATTTGTATTACCATCTTTGTCTAATCTTAGTGATCAATACTTTTGTTGCGATTTGAGCGAGTGACGTAGATATATGTTTCATAAGAATGTCTATTAGTGGTTTGAAAGCTGTCTTCGTATGTGGAAAGGGGTTCCATGATTGTGGACGTGCAATAATGGAGCTTCCTTCTGGCTCGGTTGATCCCGGTGGCTGTAGTGGGTGGGAGTAAAGTCCCCGGTTGCAGGACGCGCGCATGCACATCCTGGCGTTCGCGGCGTGCGTGCGGCACGGGCTGGTGCCCAACCTGCTGGACGGCGGGCGGCGCGCGCGGTACAACTGTCGCGACGCGGCCTGGTGGTGGCTGCACAGCGTGCGCCAGTACTGCGCCGCGGCCGGGCCCGCGCTGCTGGCCGAGCCGGTGGCGCGCCTGTTCCCGGCCGACGACGCGGCCGCCGCGCCGCCCGGCGCCGCCGACCAGCCGCTGCACGACGTCATGCAGGAGGTGCTCGACGTACACTTCCAGGTCACCACCTTTCTTTCTCTACTCTCTCTGTCTTATGAACCCTTCGACAGATTGAGACTGTCGATCTTTTAAACTACTTAAAATCATGACTAGATATTACGCGTGCGTGGAACACATATGTCATCTACTGATTCGAGGGACGTTCAATACCTATTAAGTTATCCGACTATACAACACTTGTCGCTGTAGGTACGGCCGCGTGCCTTAGGGACAAGGACCAGTTTTCTAATGACTCTCATCGTTCACAGGGGCTCGTATTCCGAGAGCGGAACGCCGGTCGCACCATCGACGCTCACATGTCGGATAAAGGCTTCAACGTGCAGATCGGGATCGATCCCGAGACCGGCTTCCCGTTCGGGGGCAACGACGCCAACTGCGGGACCTGGATGGACAAGATGGGGTCGTCCGAGCCGGCCGGCAACCGGGGCAAGCCGGCCACTCCGCGCGACGGCAGCGCCGTGGAGCTGGTCGGGCTCGCGTACAGCGTCGTGTCCTGGCTGGGCGCGCAGCACCGCGCCGGCCGCTACCCGTACCCCGGCGTCGTCCGCCGCCATCGCGACGGCAGCCTCACGTCCTGGACCTTCGCGCAGTGGGCCGAGCGCATCAAGCACAACTTCGAGCGCCACTTCTGGGTCCCCGTCGCGCCCTCCGCCGCCGACGCGCGCCCCGACCTCGTGCACCGCCGCGGCATCTACAAGGACTCGCACGGAGCCTCGCGGCCCTGGGCCGACTACCAACTGCGCTGCAACTTCCCCATCGCCATGGCCGTCGCGCCCGAGCTCTTCGATCCCAAGCACGCGTGGCTGGCGCTCGACAACGTCGAGAAACTGCTGCTCGGGCCGCTCGGAGTCAAGACGCTGGATCCCGCCGACTGGGCGTATCGCGGAGATTACGACAATTCCAATAACGGAGACGACCCCAGCGTCGCGCATGGATTCAACTACCACCAGGGACCCGAGTGGGTGTGGCCTCTCGGCTTCTATCTGCGCGCGCGGCTCGCCTTCGCCCAGCAGGCGGGGCGTCACGCCCGCACTCTGGCCTCCGCCTACGCGGCGCTGGCGCCCCTCCTGGCCGAGCTGCGCACGTCGCCCTGGCGCGGCCTGCCCGAGCTCACCAACGCGGGCGGCGCCTACTGCGCCGACTCCTGCCGCACGCAGGCCTGGAGCTCCGCCACCATCCTCGAGGCCCTCCACGACCTGCAGCAGGCGGCCCGCGCGCGCCCGCTGGCCGCCGACTGACGCGCGCGCCGCCTGCGCCCCGCCCCCGCGCTCTACGCCACGCCCTACGAGCCCGCGCGCCGCCGGCCGCTGGCAGCGCTGCGCCGCCTGCTGCGCCGCGCCCGCCCCGCGCGCTCCTTCTACAACTTGCTGCAGCCGCGCCGCGCCCGCCTCGCCACCGTCGTGTACAGCGACCGCTACTTCCGCTACGGCCTGCCGCTGCTGGCTCGGCCGGCGCCCGCGCGCCAGCTCGTGGCCGACCTGCTGGGCGCCGGCGCCACGGCCGAGCGCGGGCGGCCGCGGCGCGCGCACGTGATGCCGCTGCGATGCGCCGCGCCGCGGCCCGCGCCCCGCGCCGTGCTGCAGACGGCGGCGCGGCCGCTGGAGCCGCGCGGCGCGGCGCCGGCGCCCGCGGAGCGCCTGCTGCGGCTGTGCGAGGCGGCTCGGTTCTCAGAGGCGGCGCTGGAGCTGGCGCGGCCGGGGCCGGACGCGCTGCGGCGGCGCGCGCTGGACTACCGCCAGGGCGCGGCCGGCGTGTGGCCGCGGGTGGGCGCCAGCCGCAGTTCCCGGGCGCCCGCTCCGCTGCCGGCGCCAGAGCCCGAGTGTTCGACTCGGCCGCAGTTCGCGCTGGACGAAGCGGAGGGGGCGGGGCCGGAGACAGAGCGGTCGCGCGCTTACTCGCTGTACGAGCGACTGTCGAAGGCGTCGGCGCGACTGAGCGCGAACCTGGCGCCGGCGGTGACGGAGGGCGACAAGACTCACTCGATGGCTCTGGCGCGCAAAGTGCTGAACACGGAGCGCTACAACAACGGCGCGCGCACCTTGCGGCGCGGGTCGGGGGGCGGGGCCTGGCCTGGGGGCGGGGCCTGGGTCGGGGGCGGGGGCGGGGCGCGCGGGGCTCGACAGTTGCGCGCGACGATCCGCGCGATGTTGGCGTTTAGTAGTCTCTTCTATGCGCTCTCCTTCCTCGCATTCTACTTCTTGAGTCTACCGTAGGAAATTGCTATATTATTCGAGTGCCATAACAATTAATGTTAAGCGTTCTTATCCAATTATATGTATGTTAGCATATAGTAATGAGCATAATAAAATAAAGTCTGGCTCATATTACAACATGTACCTACATAATTATGTGTACTGGTAAAGTATGACCTGATTGCTATGTAATAATTTGCTTGGTAAGAAGTAAATTACTGCTACCTCTAATTGTAAATTATTTAAAATCGTAATTTTATGCTACTTACTTATATAAAACTTGTTATATATTATTATTAACATTGAATAAAATATAAGGTTTGTAAAATGTATGTCTTATTTCAAGATTATTTTTCCTTTATTATTAGAATAAGCTAATTCGCTAAGTAGAGTTAAACTGGTAAAGAGAGTGGCAAACAGTTTTGGAGTAAACCTTTTATATACAATTTTTATACCACATACATCTAAGCTGACAGTGTACAAAAATTAGCAAAATTGGCCCAGTAGCTACGCCAATAAGTGCTTTTTTTTTTAGCAAATATAAACACGACTGTGGGTCAATGAACTCAAGAACAGTCGGTCATTAGAGCCATAGGCGCATCAGTTGACGGGAACGATAAAGTAACTGCCTTTAACAGGCTTTGTTTACTTAGTTCGAAGGCTTCAATACTCTCCTCATTCCATGTAATCGGGCTCTTATCTTTCCTTTTACTGTTTATCAAATATGCATTTAACTTTGCAAAAGTTTCTGCTGCATGAGGAAGATGTTTTCTTTAAAAGTTTATCATGCCCAGGTAACGGCGCAACTCATCGACGGTCTTCGGCCTTGGAAACTCTGATATCACTCGAACTTGTTTGTCTGTAGGTTTCAAACCTTTTTTGGACACATGGAATCCTAAATATTCAAGTTCCATCTTCCCAAAATCGCATTTTGCTAAGTTAATTGTTATTCCAAACTCGTTCAGACGTTGTAATACTTTTCTAACTTGCTGTTTATGAATATTTGCATCATTTTCTGTGGCTATGATGATGTCATCAAGGTATATAAATATGAAATCTAAGTCGCGTAGAACGACATCATTCAAAAATCTTTGAAAGGTTTGCCCTGCATTCCTTAAGCCAAATGTCATTTTTGTAAACTCGTAGAGGCCAAAAGGCGTTGTTATAGCTGTCTTCTCTATATCCCGCTCTGCTACGGGTATGTTGTGGTACGCACGTTGTAAATCTAGCCGGGTAAATAGTGATTTTCCTGAGAGTAAATAAGTGCAGTCCTGAATACGAGGTATGGGATAGCGGTCGGGCGTTGTGATAGCGTTTAGGTGTCGGTAATCGCCGCAGGGTCTAATACCTCCATCTTTCTTGTTGACTACATGTAGTGGACTCGCCCAACAACTCTTCGAAGGCCTACATATGCCCATCTCCTGCATACGTTGGAATTCGGCCTTAACTCTTATATATTTACATGGCGGAAGTGGTCTCGGTCGTGCGTAGACAGGAGCGCCTTTGGTGTCTATGTGATGGACTACAGAGTGGCGTGGAGTGGTTTTGAAACACATTGGTTTAGTGACATCGGGGAACTCTGCTAACAGATCACTGTAGTCGCTAGCATAGTTTATTGTGTGAATAGTCGGTTGCTCGGATAGAGAGAGCGTAGCAACACAACACAAGCTGGTCACTGAGTCTATTATTTTCTTTCTATGAACATCAACTAATAACTTGTGGTGGTTCAGGAAGTCCGCACCTAATATGGGCTGTTTTACCTCAGCAATAACGAAAGTCCAGCGGTAAGGTCGCCGCAAATTAAAATTTAAGTCTAGAGTTTTAGTGCCATAAGTTCGAATTTCACTACCATTTGCGGCATAAAGCTTGTATTCGCTGCACTTCTCACGGTAGTACGGTTTTTTTATTGCTGGTAGTACAGATATGTTAGCGCCGGTGTCAACTAAAAAGTTAAGTCCACTATTGTTATCTAAAATACATAGGCGGTTGACTGGAACAATGGCACAAATCTCCGCCTGTGACTGCGCCACGATTAGTTTTCCTTGTGTTCTTCCTTCTTCCAGGCGCACGGCTCCACGCATTTTATTGCTCTGTTACGAAACTTTTTGTGATAATAACAAAGCCAACCGGGAGTATCAGGTGTCCGGCGATTCATATGACGCGAACGAGATGCTGATTGCGATCGCCTACGATGAAACGGTTTATTAAAGTTTCTATAATTGTTTCTTCCGCGTCCCATTTCGTCAATTTTTGCAGTTAACTTTGCGATTTCTGCCATAATAGAATTTTGGTCAGTGTGTGTATTGACACTGGTCGAGGTTTGCACTTCGGATACTTGAAACGGTTTCGAGGTCTCCATCACTTTGTCAGCTATCGCGGCGAGAGTCTCCAAATTTTTTCGCTTCTGTAACTGCCAGCACGGCTCTCACTGGTGAAGGTAGGTGTCCTTGCCACATAATAGAAAGTGTCTCGTCAGGTATTTTCTCGCGTGCAAGATCTCTCATTCGACGCAAAAGCTGTGAAGGCTTTTGGTCGCCTAACTCCATCTCACTCAGCAGTTTTTGGAATTGCCGCATTTCTGATTCTTCATAAACGGTTAACAACCGCGCCTTCAGAGTTTCGAATTTCTTCGTTTCCGGTGGTTTCAACAAAATGTCGCTAACTTGCTGCACAACTTCTTTGCCGAGCTTAGTGACGACCATGTTGAACCTCGCTTCGTCGCTTAGTTTTTGAGGACTCAGCACTGCTTCGCATTGCACGAACCACAGTCGCGGCTGATCACGCCAAAAATCAGGAATCCTTGAGGACACTGTTACGGTCGCTAGCTCCACCACTTCGGGTTGTACTTTTGGTTGAGTCGCCATTGTAAATTCGAAAGTAATTTGTTCACGTTTTCCGAAAAAAAAAACACGTCAGTTGGACGATCACGTCGGGGTCACCATATGTGGGGCTTAGCGCCGTATGTGTAGGGTATCTGTGTGAGGAGTGAAATGATCTGCACTCGTTTAAGTTCGGTATGAGACTGTTTAATTATAAATCAAATTAATACATGCTAGGGCACAGGTGACATCATAATCACATGATCAGAATCGGAATCGATGACATAGAATGGGGGCGATGACCGCCACAAGCGACAGCCCGCAGCGCGACGTCGCACTTTAACTATTATGGTTTGTGTTCAGTGTAGAAATAATCTGTTTAAAAGATGCACTCGGCCAACGCCATACTACTATTTATTGTGTTGTCCCATAGCTCGATAGATGGCGTTGGCCGATTTAAATTCAAGCTATGGTTTCGTTACCGGCAAAACATTAGGTTGTCTGCTTTGACGTAAATAAATTGTCTTGCTCTGAGGTACTTCGTATTATTTCAAGTAATAGGCTCCAAAGGACTTTCGGCCGATACTGTTCATGGTCCAGTCGAGCCGAAGGGTGTTTATGGAAGAACACATACAATTAAATATAGTTGTGCTAATTGATACGAGATGGTGATAGTTGTCGGTTAACAATACTACATGTGGAAGACTACGTGCTCAGCTGCCGAGGACATACATCGGGAATCATCGTGAACTTCGTAGTAGTGAAGTGAAGTGCATAATTGTGGACAAAGAACTGTGAGTACATTCAAATCATTAAAACTAGGGACTTAGAAAAATTCGCGTGCATTCGATCAGGGACTTAGAATAGTTTCAGAAAAACGACCAGACGTCGAATCTATGCCCGATTTCGAAGCGATCTACAAGTATTAAACACTTAGAAAAATTCTCTATAGTTTGGACTTGGAAAATTTGTCAATTGTCAACTGTCAGCGACACTTAGAGAATTTTCATCTATCTTTCACTGGACTTAGAATATTTTCATGAATACAAACAACATGGAGAAAGAACTAAGAAAGCTGAAAGATATCAAATTACAAATTGAAAAGGGCTGGATAAATTACAAGAAGTCCCCGAGAGATCGGATAAACTACAATTATGTCGATGCACGTTTAGAGATGTTAGAGACCCAATTCAAGAATTTTTCTGCGAAATATGAAGTCATCGTAGG